CCTCAGGTAACCGGGTTCCTGAGGGCCATGAACTGCCCGTCGTCTGAGCCCGTCTCCACAATGGTACCCACTCCGCTCTTCAGCGTGATCTTGGCGTTGGCCAGCTGGGCGCAGGTAGACCTCCTCTCTCTGTTATTTGTGAAATCTAAAACCGCTCACAGCGCATCTTCAGAGGTTATCATTCAGCAAATGTGGATTCTGCGAAAATTTGGTGGTTTTGCGCGGTGCGGCCACAGCCCTTCTGCTTGCACTTCTGCAAGGGTTTTCAGCTTGCTTCAATATGCAGGCAAAACGGGTCCTAGTCGCATTCTGTGCGTCTCGGAAGTTTAAGTTGCCCGGACTTAAAGTGCTGTTTCTGGCCTTGTAAGTGCGTTTCTGTTGCGGAGCTTTGTGGCTCGAAAAGCATGATAAGTGCTTTCTAAGCGCAACGGTAACTCAGAGCAGAAGGGTGGAATTCTCTTGGCCTCATTTGCTGCATGTGAGCCTTGGGTTGCGTCTCCGTCAATCCTCCGGCAACAGGATTGCATTGCTGTGCTGGGTTAGGGCAGCCGCAGATAGGCCAGCGCGTATACTTCAGCTGCCGGCTTCCGGAACTTGCGTAACGCAAAAGGACGAATGGGGAAGATCAAGCTTTTCCCCACGCCTGAGTACACCAGCAAGCAAGCCTCGGACCCCGTGGTGCCCCTGGTGCCATGCACGGGCATCTTCCTCGCCCAGCAAGTCGGGCAAGACCGTGGCGCTCATCAGCCTCATCCTGGAGCAGTACAAGGGCGTGTTTGTCTACGTTTTCAGCCCAAGCGTCAACATCGATGATGGCTGGATCCCCGTCAAGAAGTACATCGAGCAGGACCTGGGGTGAACACGGAGCGTGAGCAGGCTTACTGGGACGAGTGGGATGAGTCCGCCTTGCGGCGCATCATCCAGCAGCAGCGCAAGATCACGGAAGAGTCCAAGAAGTTGGAAACGAAGAAACTGTACCAGTCATCGACGACTTTGCTGACACGCCGCAGCTCCACAAGCCGCACGGCGCCCTTGACACGCTCTTCATCCGAGGCCGTCACATGCAGATTAGCACCTGGGTGAGCTCCAGAAGCTGAGGCCATCAGCGCTGCCGTGTGAACATGCAATTGCTCTGCTGCTGGAGGCTCAACCAGCACGAGCTGAGGAGCTGAGCCTGCTGCCGAACCGGCCCCCCAAGTCCGCTAGGCCCCCTAACCCTGGGTGCCCCGGGGCCTCGCTGTTCTCTCGAGGCCGCCGGGGTCAGTTACGGGCGCGTTCGCTTACGTCTGACATCCACGATAAACCGAACGCAGTTTTAGAACGGGCAAGAGTCCCCGCCCGTGCCGGGGTTCACCTGCAGGTCGCGGACCTCCACCAGGCCGCATTGCTTGCCCATAATCCAGACCTGCCACTCCTTGAGGCAGCTCTGCCACCTGTCCTTCACATCGCCGTAGTCGCCCCAAATGCGGCTCGACCGCGAAGACAGCTTCTCGAATTCCTCCCAGGCCGCCCAGACCTCGGAATCCGTTTCCATCGCAAGGCAGGCGTTCTGCCTGGGTCCTTGGTCCTCGCCGAAGCTGCTGGGCTCCAGAGGACGTGAGTCCACGCGGACTGCCAGACGATGGCGCCCTTGGGGCTCGTCTGCACCTCGCCCAGGGCGAAGCTAGTGGCGATGGTTCGGGACTTTTGCTTGCCGGTCCTTTTCCTATAGACAACTATGGTCCGACCAAAGGGACGGCCCTGGCTCAAGCGGCTCGAGGGCCGCCATTTCCGGAAAAAACACGTTTTTGTTTGTTTTTCCGTAAATTCAGTTTTGCATGGTTTTTGAGCGTGATTTTGCATGACAGGTTGCCGGTGTTGCGTTTTTCTCACGATTTTCACGTTGTCGGTCGTGTTTGGAAAGAGCTTCCCCAAGCACGTGAGCCTTGTGAAGGCGAGATTCGGGGACACTCTGGGGTACGGGGCGGGAACCGCTCGCGGGTGCAAAGGCGTGGTTTCAGACTCACAGTTTTTCTTGACCTCACGTGCCCTGTGCCCAGACTTCGACGTGCAGATCTTCTCGCAGCGCCGCGAGTTGCCTTTTTGTCACTTTTGGTTGGCCGCTTGCAGGTGGATCCAATTCGTGCTACTGGGGACTCTTTGGCTGGGCACCTGTGCGGATTGGTGTCAACTCGGCCTTTGAGCAGTGTTTCAGGTTTGGTCCTGGATTTTGAAGGTCGTGTTTTCGCGTGCCAGGCTTTGTTTTGACATCGGGGCATACTGCCCGGGCCTTCGCTGCTTCCGTTGTCATGGCCATCAATGCCAACTGATCTTTGAGGTTTGGGTCCCAACTCGCCAATCTGTCAGGCCCCCTGATCTTTGGCCTAGCGAGGCCCGGACACCCCCCCCCCGTCCCGTGCCAGGATTTGCGCGACTTCGAAGACGTTCTGCCTGGGCCTTTTTGCTGATTGCGCCGTCAGTGTTGATGCGCGGATTTCAACTGAGCTTTCAGGGTTGGGCCCAACCTTGATCTCTTTGACCCGGTGAGGCCCAAGTGGTTTGCGTTGTTTTTTTGTGTGCGTTGCCCAACCCCGTCAAGCCGCGCCGTCAGGCCCGTGTATCTTTGGAAATCGTGAACTCGTTGAGCCAGGCCCGCATTTTGTATTGTCTCTCCAACCTGGTGAACCCTTGACCTTGAGAGCGATTGCGCCAACCCCGTCAAGTCGTACTGTCAGGTCTTTTGTAAGTCAGGCAGTGTGGTTTCCTCAAAATCGCCTTTTTTTTCCTGGCGCTCAGGCACTCCGAACTTTTGAGCTTGCGCCTCGAGCTCCACGTTCCGCCCGGGCCCTCGCCGCGTTCCATTGTCATGGCCAAGAGGTCCCGTGCAGGTTATTGTCATTTGATCTTTGTCACCAATCTGTCAGCCCCCTTGATCTTTGACCCAGTGAAGCCCTGACGGTCCGTCCCGAGGGTCCCTGGGGTCCCTAGGGTCCCTGGGGTCCCTGGGGTTCCTGGGTCCCTGGGGCACGCGGGCGTCCGCTGCAGGTGCCATGAAACAACGTCCTTCCATCAAGACGTCTGGCCAGTCCCAAAGTGCATCCATCCTTGTCAACACACGGCGTTTTGACCCTAGGGACCTTACGGACCCTAAGGGACCTTGGGGACCCCAGGGACCTTAGGGACCCCAAAAACCTTAGGGACCCCAGCAACTCTGGGTCTTGGGGGCAAGAGATCCTGTGAAGTGTGAAGTCATCTCTCAAGCTTCGGTTGGTTGCAGCTTGCCACGCAAGGGGACACAAAGACGCGCGGAAGGGCAAAGCTTCTGTTGTTTTTCCATTCGAGCAACTTGCCATACATCTATTTATCTTCGTGTACTCATATTTATTTTCATACATTTATATCTTCATATCTCTACGTATTTGTATCTCTTTATGAATTTTCATACATTTATATCTTTGTATTTCTACAAATTCATATCTTTATATCTTTGTATCTTTATACCTTTCTCTTTATATCTTTATATCTTTATGTCTTTGTGCCTTTATGTTGGTATGTCTCTACATGGTGTTTTCTACATCCGTGTTTGTAGTTGGGAGATGATGTTGTGGTGTTGTGGCCCATTTGCAATGTGTGTGTGTGTGTCTTGGCTTCGGCATTTTGTGTTTTTGCATGACCCTATGATGCTGGAGAATGCCCAGGCTGAGTGGTACCCGGCGTGAAGTTCTTGCCAAGATCCCTTCAAGCCCCAAAATCCTTGGGGCCACCAAGGATCTCTTGAAGTCCTGGGTCGCTGGGTCCCTGAAGTCCTCGGAGTCCCTAGGGTCCCTAGGGTAGGGTTTGCAGGGTTGCTAGGGTCCCTAAGGTCCCTAAGGTCCCTAAGGTCCCTAAGGTCCCTAAGGTCCCTAAGGTCCCTAAGGTCCCCAAGGTCCCTGAACCCGCCGTGCGTTGACAGGGATGAGCGCACTCTGGGGCCTTGGCGAGACGTCTGATGCACACGTGTGCAGGGACCCCAGGGACTCTAGGGACCCTAGGGACCTTAGGGACCTTAGGGACCCTAGGGAATGTAGGGACCCTAGGGCCCCAGAGGCCCCAGTGATCCCAGGGACCAGGGACCCCAGAAACCTCCGCCCTTCAGCCCCTGGCGGCCCGGTGCCGATTTCGGCTGCTTGTTTTGCAGGCAGGCCAGTTTGGTATCTCGCTTGGACTTTGATGCAGCGGCAGGATGTGGGTCAGCCAGTCTGACGGATGGACGCTGCGAAGCCTTGCAAGGCTTGGCCCGACCGACCTTCAGGCCGCGAGTGAAAAGGAGGAGGAGCATCCAAACCCGAGCGTTGGTGTTGCCAAAGAAGCCAGTCAATCTTGTGTTTGCTCTGGAAGCTTGGCTCGAGTGTACTCATCAACACTGACACAACAACAGCTCGCAATGGTTGCCCGATGGGTCTAGTGCCAGCGCTTGAGGAATCGCAGGCCGCTCAAGCGCTTTTCGAATAGCCATGGCGATGATGCGGACCAGGACCAAAAGCCGAGGCTGGCAAGCTTGTGACGCTACCGTGCCCGCGGTAGGCAGCGGCCAGGTATGTGCCTCTGCCTTCTCGGGATTGCATTGGCGCTGCTCGTGCAGCCGAGCACGGCCTGGGTCTTGGGACACATTTTTTCGAAGGTTTTCGGGTTTCAGGAGTCCCTTGTCGCCGCCGCCCAGGACTTTGCTCGAGGAGTTCCTGGGCTGAAGGAGCATGAAGTCCCTCCTTTGCATGTTCTTGTTTCGTGCTGAGTGCCAGGACAGCATATCGGCCCAGATCTCAGAGTTGCCCGCAGGCGCAAGCAGATTGCACTTTGGCTCTTTCAGGTGGCAAAACGGCACCCGTTGCATGCCGGAGTCGCTCGGCGCGCCGGGGCTGCGCAAGAGGACTCCTCCGACCCGAAGCCAGTTCGCATCTTTTGCCGGTTGCCGCCAGGACAACAGTGGCCAGGCCTGGGGGACACGTGCATCGGGTTTGAACGTTGGGCTTGTTGGTTGTCAGGACCGGCTCGATCTCGAGGAGGCGGGCCTTCAGAGAAAGCGACGTCCCAGCCTTGTCTCGCTCAGGTGGTCGCAGAAGCCAAACGGGTTGTGGACAACGGCACGCTGAAAGACATGCAAGTGGTCATGCGCCGCTTTAGCAGCACATTGGTTGCAGCAGGCGTGGTGAAATTTTGAGCTCAGGAAAAGTGCAGCTGACAGATCCAGGGAAGTGGAATGATTTGGCGACTAAGCCTGAGTTAAAGCAGCAGCTAAAGAAGTTTGTGGCAGAGGCAGGAGTGTTTGCTTGTTTTACCAACAGGTCAGATTCACAAGCGCTTTCGTGACATTCTGTGTGCTGCATGTTTGTCGAGGCAGCCCTAAAGGCCTTGGAAGAGGCCGTCCGTCCGAGCGCACTGCTGCTCGGCGTGTGAGTCTTGCTGGGCAGGACCTGCTCCTGGCGCGACAGCAGCAAGCGAGCGCCCAGCGGCAGGTTGAGACTGCCCAGCGGCAGGTTGAAAGCGCTCAGCGGCAGGTTGAGAGCGCCCAGCGGCAGGTTGAGAGCGCCCAGGAGCAGGAAGCGATGGCGGTGAGGCGTCTCGCTCGAGCTGCCACCGTCTTGGAGACGGCGGAGGACTCGGGCAATGCGACAAAGGTGCAGGAGGCGGAGAGGAAGGTTCAGGAGGCGGAGAGGAAGGTTCAGGAGGCGAAGAAGGAGATTCAGGAGGCGAAGAAGGAGGTTCAGGAGGCGGAGAGGAAGGTTCAGGAGGCGGAGAGGAAGGTCCAGGAGGCGGAGAGGAAGGTCCAGGAGGCGGAGGTCAAGGAGGCGAAGGCAAGCGGCCGGACGAAGGAGTCCGAGGCGGGCGGAGTCGGTCGCTTCCGCCGGCCGGCTGCGTTCTGTGACTCTGATCGTTGCGTGCGGTTCTGAAATTCCCCGCGCGGCCCGCACATGGTTTTGGTGGGGCAGCCCTGATCGCATCCAGAGAACCAGGAAATCCCAAGATAGCATTTTTGCAGATTGCGGCGGTTCGTGTCCTTGGTAGGCTCGGTATGGAGCCCCCCATGAACGGATGGTTGCCATTCCTTGTTGGAGGTCGGTCATTCCTGCCGGTCAACATTGATTGAGACGTGCCGTTGATCCTTGTGAGTGATTTTGTCATTGCCTTCAGCTTGCTTTTCAAAGAGCAAGACCTGCCCTTCTGCCGTCGGGGAGAGGGAGGGCAAACTCTGATGTCTTTATGTCTCTGCACCCATTGGGGTCCTGGCTGCTGAAGGCCCAAGTGCATTCTGTGAATGTTCTCTTTGATGCAGTGAGTTCAACCATACATTCCCGGCTTTGCATCCACGGGCAGAGTTCCTGTTCGATGGTTTGGCCCGTTGTGCTGCCATTCCATCCCCTTCTATTGTTCAATTTTAGATGTACCTGCTCATATCTGCCTGATTTGAAATTCTTTTGCTGAGGCGGAGCCACCCGACTCGATAAATCCAACAATTGCTGATGTCCTTACACTCCTCCGCGCCCGATTTTGGAGACAGGCACGGAGCAGTTGGTGCGAGAGGTTGCTCGCGAAGAAGTTGAAGTTTGGAGCAGCCGACCAACTGCTTGCAACAGTTGGGGCCACATGGGACTATTGTGGGAAGGAGGTGCTCCGTGAAAGCATGCAGATCCCCATCCAGAAGCTGCACGAGCAAAAGGGGAAGAACAGTGACAAACAGCTTCATCCTTTGTTCATCGCATTTGCAGGCCCAGGGCAAGGCAAGTCCCGGTTGCTGACAGAGTTCCCGGGCCTGGTCGAGCAGTGCTTGCAGAATGTGTCTGAAAGGCAGAAACTGAAATTCAGCAAGCAAACGAGGAGCTTCATGATCAGCTGCGAGAACGGCCTCTCTCCCGGGGACTGGGCCACGGAGGAGCTCAATGCCCGACGCTTTGTGGCATGCCGCATGCTGTGGCAGCTGAGGAATGCAAACAAGGAGGCTTTTCGGGAGGTCGGCGCTCCAACAGACTTTGCCGAATTCCGCATCCAATGCCCTGCCGACCTCACACCCTCGCCTGTGCTTAAGTCTGTGCTGCGTGATGAGCTCAATCATAGCACGGTGGTGATCGGAGTCGACGGGATGCAAGGTCTGCCTGGATTTACCGAGCGCAGTGATGCTGCGGGCAAGGACCTGCCATTCTATCAGGTGATGCAGGAGGTCTGCCGCCTTGTCAACCAAGTGGAAGGCCCCTTTGTCGTAGCTTGTGTGGCCGCTTTGCAAAATGTGAAGAGTGGACTTGCTGGCAGTCCCCAGGCCCGAGTTTTTCTGGAGCTGCCACGCGTGACCGCCGTAACCCGCAACAAACAGCCGGTGCTGCCCGGCCACCGCCTAAAAGACCTCCTGGTCGAAGACATGGGCGGGCATGGCAGAGCTTTGGAGTGCCTTCTAGAGGCCTTGATGGAGATGCCCAACGCTGCAGCAACTGCCTTGGTGGGTGCAGTTATGAGACAATTGAGGCAGAAGTATCCTGACGCCACTCAGATGGAGCCGGGTGCAGACCTCAAGGAACTGCTTCGCGCAGCTCTGTCAGGCAGATGGATTTTGTCTGGCGAAATGGTCGGCAATCTAGATCCTGAGAAGGTGGAGCTTATCCGCGTCAAGTTCAAGGACGGCGACTCCTCGCAGTACCGCATCGACTTGCCCTACATTTGGTTGTACTTGATGCTGAGTTTGTCTAAGTTCTCTGACGATTTGCAACCGTGGAACTTGATGGACTACCGCTTGTTTGAGTCAGAACCAACCTGGCAACAGTGGGAAGAATTCAATGCCAGGTTTCGAGTGTTGCGAGCTTCTGCGTTTGAGGATGGACAACTAGTTGACATTGCCGATCTACACAGGGGTGCAGTGATCCAGCCTGACAGCTTGAAAAGCACCAAGGTCATCAACCGGCATCTGCAATTTGCCAAATCCAGGAAGCAATTGTTGTCGAGGTCCTCACGCTGCGGCAATCCCAAAGCTCGGACAAATTTACTTAAGGGACTGGGAATGCACCAGTGCGTAGTTGAAATGACAAACCAAATCCTTACAGTGACGTTGACTGGCAAACGTGTTTTGGTCGTGAATGCTGCCGGAGCTCCAGCTGCTGATGCCTTTCTCATGTTGGAAGAGGTGAGGGCAAAGGGCAACAATCGCACGATCTCTGAATGTTTGCAATGCAAGAAGGGCAATTCTCCATTCATAGTAAAGAACGAGCGTGACAAAGCATGCGACACAGCTGACATCCTGGTGCTTTTGCTGACAAGGACAGAGACTGTGCCACAAACCGGCAGACAGCGCTTGATCTTCGCATCTGAAGCGCAGTACCAGGAGTACTTTGGCTTCTACGCTGGTAGAGCCTTCCATCAAACCAGGGCGGCCAAACCTTGAAGGCTGAATTGTTGCTGCTGTGCCATTTCCTGGCCTAGAATTGGATCTCGGGGCTCAAAGAATTGCGGAGCATGAGGAAAAAAGTTTCTGGGTGCAGAACGAGCAGATTGGGGAACCGAGGAAGGCCATGGAACGATTTAGGGGGCTGTTGAGACCTTTTGTTTCCTTTTCTCAATGCTTGCATTTTGAGGGCAGCCGGTGAGTGACGAATCAAACGCATGAAAATGTGGAATTGGCTACATGCGATTTGGCCCCAAAGCCCATCAATATGCTAAGACATGTTTTTTTGCCTTGTGCTGGCCCGGCCTCCTGGGCTGCCCCAAGAAGTCTTCCAGCTGCCTTGCCGCAGCGGGCCGGCCGCGCCTCGTCAGCCTGCCCGCGGCGTTGCCGCTGCCCTGGGGCGCTGGCAGGGCCAGCTTCAGCAGGGTCTCCGGCGGTCGGTCAGATCCTTGTTGTGCTGGAACTTGTCCGCGTTGTCTTGCAGCAGCCGGAACTCGGTGGCCGGCTGCCGCTCCACGTCCGCTGGGGCCCCGTAGACCGTCTCGCGCGGCCGGGCGTTGTAGGCCCCGGCGGCCTGCTCGAAGTCTTGCGGGCCACTCGCGTGGCCAGGTCCTTCTTCAGGGTCTGGATGCCCCGGTCGATCACGGCCGTGGCGTTGCGGTCCTCGGGCCGCACGGCCTCCTCGGGCAGCTCCCGGTCCAGGGAGGCGAGCTCGTTGCCCAGGTCCGTGGTGACCACGAAGTTGCGCTCCTCGCCCACCAGCTCCCGGGTGGCCCGCTTGCGGCGCTCTTCTCTGCAGCGACTCCACGGCCGCCTCCCTGGTGAAGACGTCCATGACCACGAGGCCGTACCTGGTCTTCCCCTTGGTGTTCTGGCTGAAGTCGATCGGGCCCCTCCGCCGCGGCGGACTTGCCGAGGGCCCTGGGCGTCCTGCCGGCCCACGTCGGTCTTCAGGCTGCGTGACGTCCATGTTCCGCTGCCGCGCAAGGCGGTACAGCTTGCGGGGGTCCCGCACATTGAAGTCGTCGGCCAGGACGTCCATTTTTTACTTGTTCTTCCAGCTTGTCCAGCCGGGCCTGGAAGCCCTTGCACACCCCCCAGAGCACGCTGGTGAGGTGCGAGTAGTCGAGCGTGACCATCTCCGTGCCGTCGCTCCACCGGGCGGTGCCCGTCAGGTTCTTCCACTTCGTTCCTGCGAAGTCGTTTGAGGCGAAGCCCAGCCTCAGGTCCTCGTTCATGTCCGGGCGCTTGTACTGCTTGGCCTCCACGGAGTCGAAGAGCTGCTGGAGCTCTGCCACGTCGGCCTCGGCCATCTCCGTCTTCACCCTGCTGTCCGACAAATTCGTGAAGCTCGTGTTGCAGACCACGTTGCCCGTGTTGCCCGCGATCACGAGGCAGCCGGGGTTCCTCTGGTTCGTGGTCAAGGGCAGCTGCGTCGAGAGGCTCTTCGTCTGCACCAGCGCCTCATCGTTGATCATGATGAGCTCGCACTGGTGCGTCCCGCCGTCCCGCTCCAGGAAGACCCTGGCGCTCTGGTTGCCCAGGAGCCCAGCTCCGGGCCGCTGTCGGAGGCCGCGCTGTTGTTGGAGATCTGCAGCTTGCTCCACGCCCAGTTCTTCGTCAAGAAGAGATCGTCCGAGAAGTCGGAGGTGTTGGTCACGATGAGCGTGTTGGACGCGAAGAGCTGCGGCGCGGAGACCGTGCCGAGCTCGTCACGTCGCCGCAGACCACGCTGCCCGTCGACACTCCACCGCTCGTGGCCGTGAAGGTGCAGTCCAGGCTCTCGCAGTCCAGCGGGCCCGTGGAGGCCACACCGGTGATCGTCAGCGTGGCGCCCGTGAGCGCGCCGGTGGCTGCGAAGCTCGCCGCGGTTGCTGCGCCCGAGGCCGTCAGCG